CAACTATAATAACAAGGTAGGGGTGTCTGTCCGTCTGTCCGTCCGTCCGTCCGTCATGTCCCGGATTCAACTCGAAGGGGAAAGGAGCTAGAGCTTAGCTCTCTTCGGATTCGGATAGAGCGTGGTCAGAAACCCCCAAACTGATAAAAAAATTATGAAAAGTTTTAATTTAAATTATTAAAATTAACTTTGAAAGTTTTTTCCTTAGTAAAAGGGGTGGGGGCGGAGGTTGGGGTGATTTTGGACATAGTGAGCCAGGTGGCGCGCGTTTCGTGGATGAAATTTTCACGGGGGATTTCATTTCTTTTTTCTCTCAATCCATCCGGTCGGTCGTTATTTTCGTTTTTTAAGGGGATTTCGTCTATGGGGAGTATCTGAAGCCATCAGGGAGGTATCTAAGTAGTTTTTGAAGGGGATTTCGGCTATGGGGGGTATCTGAAGCCATCAGGTAGGTATTTAGGTAGTTTTTGAAGGGGATTTCGGCTATGGGGGTATCTGAAGCCATCAGGAAGGTATTTAGGTAGTTTTTGAAGGGGATTTTGGCTATGGGGGGTATCTAAAGCCATCAGGGAGGTATCTAAGTAGTTTTTGAAGAGGATTTCGGCTATGGGGGGTATCTGAAGCCATCAGGAAGGTATTTAGGTAGTTTTTGAAGGGGATTTTGGCTATGGGGGTATCTAAAGCCACCAGGGAGGTATCTAATAGTTTTTGAAGGGGATTTCGGCTATGGGGGGTATCTGAAGCCATTAGGAAGGTATTTAGGTAGTTTTAAGTAGTTTTTCAAGGAGTAGCTAATTTTATGCAGGGGTGGCTATAGGGGTGTCTGAAGCGATTGGTGTGGGTATTGGTGAAGATAGAGATGTAATGTGGTGGCGTAGAACATGGAGGGTAGCCCGAAGGCCAGCCGATTACAGTCGCGAAGCGGCTGTAGTCGGCTGGTACGTTAAGAGTGCAGCTCAGTCTGATACCCCATTGGTCGAAACCGGGTGGGCGCTGGTCACAAAAAGGGGTCCGGGCGCTCGTCTAAGGGCTAGTATTAGCAAACATTGTTTCGGCGCTTATGCGCCGTTTATTAACTTCTTTAGCTTTTTTACAGAAGTCCGCAGTTTCGTCTCAGATGTCCTACGTAGGTCAAAACCTTTTTTGAAGTCAGCTGACTTGGAGCGAACCGATAAAAATAAAGCGTCAAAGAAAAGTTGGAGGCGACGATTAACGCGAAGGAAACTGAAAGAAGCCGAAGAAGAAGCTGATGAAAAGCCTCTAAAATGCATTCCTTTCTTATCCTCTCAAGATCATCCGTATACTCTTACCTATCTCTGACCTTGATGTGTATAGTACTGTAAAGTTGTAAAAACCCCGAATTTGTTATCCAAAGACAAAAACCTCAAAGAGAACTGAAACCATTGCCGGAGATAATTTTGAAACCAGAATTTAGCCTTCCTAACGAAAAACTTATTTTTTGATCATATCACCCAAAAAAATAGTTGCATCAAAAACTCAAATTTTGATTCCAATGACCGATTCACTTCAAACTTGGCTTAATGGTAGATCTGAGTGTACTAAGCACTAGAAGAAAATACCAGATTTTTTGTACGCGGTTAAGACCGGTTTTTGGGACCAGCGCCAAATCGACCAATCAGCCGACCAATCAAGGTTTTTCTCGGTTTTGGTCCCCTGAAATATCAGCTAGATTGGTTTTAATTGGAATGAAGGTAGCCTAAAGGGTGGGTTACCGTATGCCGAAAAGACTATTTAGATTGCTTGCGTCTGCTTCGAGCCTGGGACCAGCGACTGTCAATTTTTTTGGATCTTGAAAATCGGCCAAAGTTTTTCTCTTAACAGGGGGGAGTAATTTTTTAAAAATTTTTCCTTGGCACCGATGATAGAGTAGGATGTGCTCTTTCGAATGACGTATCGTACGTCCGGATCCGGCTCCTCTACGCGGAGCATGGGACCAGCGACTCGATTGGTCGAGCCGATTTTGCACCTTTTATATGGCATTTGAGGCCATTAGTAGGCTATCTCCGCCGAACTGGAAGGGATCGACTTCAAATGTTCCCTGATGATGAGGAACGTCATCAGCAAGCTGGGATCAATCTAGCGACTTGATTCGGTGCATTCGAAGACCACTTTGGGACCAGCGACGGATGTTGCAGAAAAAAAATCGGCTCGACCAATGGAGTCGCCGAGTCACTCTATATCGCTCGCTCACTCTCTCGCCCGCCGTTACTCTCGTCCGATCACTCTCTATCTCTCGCTCACTCTCTCCCTCCGTTGCTCTCGTCCGATCGCTCTCTATCTCTCGCTTACTCTCTCCCTCCGCTACTCTCGTCCGATCACTCTCTATCTCTCGCTTACTCTCTCCCTCCGCTACTCTCGTCCGATCACTCTCTATCTCTCGCTTACTCTCTCCCTCCGTTACTCTCGTCCGGTCACTCTCTATATCTCGCTTACTCTCGCCTCCGTTTCTTTCGGATCACTCTCTATCTCTCGCTCACTATCTCTCCCTCCGTTTCTCTCGCCAGGTCACTCTCTATCCCTCGCTCACTCTCTCTCCCTTCGTTTCTCTCGCCAGGTCACTCTCTATCTCTCGCTTACTCTCTCCTTCCGTTACTCTCGTCCGGTCACTCTCTATATCTCGCTTACTCTCGCCTCCGTTTCTTTCGGATCACTCTCTATCTCTCGCTCACTCTCTCTCCCTCCGTTTCTCTCGCCAGGTCACTCTCTATCCATGGCTCACTCTCTCTCCCTCCGTTTCTCTCGCCAGGTCACTCTCTATCCCTCGCTTACTCTCTCCCTCCGTTACTCTCGTCCGGTCACTCTCTATATCTCGCTTACTCTCGCCTCCGTTTCCTTTCGGATCACTCTCTATCTCTCGCTCACTCTCTCTCCCTCCGTTTCTCTCGCCAGGTCACTCTCTATACCTCGCTCACTCTCTCTCCCTCCGTTTCTCTCGCCAGGTCACTCTCTATCTCCTCGCTTACTTCCCTCTCCCCCCGTTACTCTTCGTCCGGTCACTCTATATCTCGCCACTCTCGCCTCCGTTTCTTTCGGATCACTCTCTATCTCTCGCTCACTCTCTCTCCCTCCGTTTCTCTCGCCAGGTCACTCTCTATACCTCGCTCACTCCTCTCTCCCTCCGGTCTCTCGCCAGGTCACTCTCTATCTCTCGCTCACTCTCTCTCCCTCCGTTTCTCTCGCCGGGTCACTCTCTATCCATCGCTCACTCTCTCCCTCCGTTTCTCTCGCCAGGTCACTCTCTATCCCTCGCTCACTCTCTCTCCCTCCGTTTCTCTCGCCCGATCGCTCTCTATCTCTCGCTTACTCTCTCCCTCCGTTACTCTCGTCCGGTCACTCTCTATATCTCGCTTACTCTCGCCTCCGTTTCTTTCGGATCACTCTCATCTCCTCGCTCACTCTCTCTCTCCCTCCGTTTCTCTCGCCAGTTCACTCTCATAACTCCTCGCCCAATCTCTCTCCCTCCGTTTCTCTCGCCAGGTCACTCTCTATCTCTCGCTCACTCTCTCTCCCTCCGTTTCTCTCGCCAGGTCACTCTCTATCTCTCGCTCACTCTCTCCCCTCCGTTTCTCCTGCCAGGTCACTCTCATCTCCCGCCTCACTCTCTCTCCCTCCGCTCTCTCCCTGCCAGGTCACTCTCATCTCTCGCTCACTCTCTCCCTCCGTTTCTCTCGCCAGGTCACTCTCTATCTCTCGCTCACTCTCTCTCCCTCCGTTTCTCTCGCCAGGTCACTCTCTATCTCTCGCTCACTCTCTCTCCCTCCGTTTCTCTCGCCAGGTCACTCTCTATCTCCCTCCCCTCGCTCACTCTCTCTCCCTCCGTTTCTCTCGCCAGGTCACTCTCTATCCATCGCTCACTCTCTCTCCCTCCGTTTCTTTTGCCAGACACGATTAAGGAGGCAACCCTTTAATGCGGGAAGTAACCCTAATTAGCATATCGGGGATAATTAAGATAATTTACCGGATTTGCATTTCCGGTTCCATGTGTGCCCCCGGAGCGCGGGAAATCTTTTTCATTCTGAATTTTGGCGGGGCCTTGACTGGCTTCTTTTCCTTTTTTTGATTTTTGATTTTCTTTTGTGTTTTCCTTTTTCTGTTTTCCATTCGATATGCTAATTACATATTCTTTTTCAGGCTAGGTCATGGTGTTGACCCGGGCCGGCCGCGCTAGGGCCGCAGCAGGACATCCCACCCCGCCGCCACCGCGTACCTCATCCTCTGGCTCGTCGTCACATACTCCATCACCCAACCAGCGCACGCCTCCGCCGGATAGGAGTGAGTTTTTCTTGGTGTTGCTTTGGCATTATCGGTGGGCGGCGTGTTCGATTGATTCCGATATGCCAATTATATATTTTCTGCTTTAGGCAGCCGTCCGGTCAACCCACCTGTGCGCCGTCGTGCTGCACGTCGTCGTCCTCCCTCGTCGCCTTCATCTTCTCCATCACCGGCCCCGACGGCTTCTGCTTCTTCCGGCTCTAGCGGTACGCCATCCACTGGGACTCGATCGCCTTCTCCACCCTTTGCCCGTCCACATCTTCCATGTGAGTTTTTCTGGTTTACTTTGTGCTCGATTGTTGGTGGTGATCTTTTTTTTTTTGGAGCTTTGGCATTATGAGGGGGACGAGTTTTTTTTGAGAGGGGCAGCTTTGCATAGTAGCCCCCCCTCCCCGATAATGCCAAAGTACTTCGATCATCACTGACAATTGAGCACTGATTTGTTTTCGGCATTGAAGTTCGCTCGGTAATTGGCTTTCTTTTACAGACCAATATAAGCAAACGGTGATGAGGGAGCTGAACCTGATGCAGGGACTGGCTGGCCAATTGCTTCAAGACGGCCCCGCGGATACCTTCTTAAAGGTAAAAGCTTCTTTCTGGGATGGTTAGCAGAGATTCTTTGGGAAATTAAAAGGATAGCGACAGTTACCGGGGGGCAGGCTAGCTAAGATTCTTTGGGAAATTAAAGGGATAGCGACACCTATCGGGGGGTAGGCTAGCTAAGATTCTTTGGGAAATTAAAGGGATAGCGACAGCTACTTGGGGCTGGCTAGCAGAGATTCTTTGGGAAATTAAAAGGATAGCGACAGTTACCGGGGGGCAGGCTAGCTAAGATTCTTTGGGAAATTAAAGGGATAGCGACAACTATCGGGGGGTAGGCTAGCTAAGATTCTTTGGGAAATTAAAGGGATAGCGACAGCTACTTGGGGCTGGCTAGCAGAGATTCTTCGAGCGTTTAGGGGAATTGGTGGGGGAGTTGTTTCCCACGCAAAAGAACCCATTCTAGAGCGGTGACTGCGTGCTGGGCTACACGTGCGAGGTCGCGAACGGACGGCACGTCGGCCCCTACACTTATACCTGGAGTACTGCTCAAGTAAACAAACCTGTTGTTCTGCATTTTCAACCTTTCTTTTCCAGCCTCTCAACATAACGGTCGAGCATTTCCTCTTGATGAGAGGTCTTGAGACCTGGGAGCGGCGCAACGACGCACGTTGCTGTGCGTGCCATTCGAAAGACCTCCATTACCACGTTGGCCTTTTTGCCGTATGCCAGCGGTGCGGATTTGCCGCAATGTAAGGGTTTTTCAGATTTTTTCTAGGCATTTTTCATTTAGGAGATGGAAAGGAGTTAATAAACGTTGCAATGATCATCAGGTGCACAAAGACAACCGACGCAACATATTCGAACGTAAATTTCATCGTTTTCGGAAAATAAATATTTTTTTTAGCACTGGTCTACGAAGGCGGCGACCGCTGCAACGAGTGTCTCCTTTACCGATGCATTTTGTTTGGGTTCAAGCCGGTAAGAGCTTTGCTTATTTACCATTCGCGCTCTTTTTTTTTTCTCGCGCTTAGCCAGGACAAAACTTGATTGTAAAAACATTGAAAATTGGTCGTTTTCGGGGCGAAAAATCGCAATTTTGTTGAATTTTCGACCAAAAATAAAATTTTGGGTTTAGAAATAGTCAAAAAAACAGGCTAGAAACACAGTGGCCTTTTGTCTGAGAAAATTTGGTTGCTAAGCAAAAAAGTTGCCCTGTCGAAACCTCTCCCCCGATATTAGAAAAGGTCCAGCAATTTCTTGATATTCTTTCTAATTCGCCAATTTCAGCTGGGCCGCGGGTTCAGCGTATGTATCACGTGTACCCGAGGAGGGCCGATGACCTATTGACGGCCAGAGCCATTTGAATTGCGACTTCAAACCCGGAAAGCTTCTCGTCCTCTGTGTTCCATCCTATTTCTGCAATTGTTCTTCTTTATGTCCCACTCACTGTTTTTTCGTTGCCCCTCAAGCTTTGTTTTTATTCATAACCAGTGGAAAAAGACCGCTTCGCGGCCCTTGTCCACTGGACCCCGTCCACGAATCAGGAATTTCAATACTTGCCTTCTTTTAGCCTGAGGCGCAAGTAACTGAGTCAAGGAACCCCTACTTGGCCTGCGGCGCCAGAGTCACGGTTGCGCTAGAACTGTGAGTCTGCAGCGATGGCTACCGATTTTTCTATGGGGCTTAGCCTGCGGCGCTAGAGCGTGATTCAAGGAACTTGTCATTGGCCTGCGGCGCGAAAGCCTGGGTACAGCACTTTTTCTTTGGCCTGCGGCGCTAGGGCCCAAAGCAGGCCTAAACCTCGCGCTAGAGCCTTTTTGCCTGCAGCGCTAGTTAATAATATGTGATTCCCCTGGATCCGGAAAAATCATATGATCTCTCGATCTGATGCCGGAATGCGATCCTTTTTTCTACTCGTATCTTCTTCCGCGAATAAATGTTGTTGTCAATAGGCAAGAGAGACAGAGAGATTAAGCGAGAGAGCGAGAGTGAGAGAGAGAGATGGCCAGGCTAGCAGAGATTGTTTGAGGCATTAAAGGGAGTGTGACAAGAGATCAAGGGGCAAGCTAGCAGAGATTGTTTGAGGCATTAAAGGGAGTGTGACAGGAGATCAAGGGGCAAGCTAGCAGAGATTGTTTGAGGCATTAAAGGGAGTGTGACAAGAGATCAAGGGGCAAGCTAGCAGAGATTGTTTGAGGCATTAAAGGGAGTGTGACAGGAGATCAAGGGGCAAGCTAGCAGAGATTGTTTGAGGCATTAAAGGGAGTGTGACAGGAGATCAAGGGCAAGCTAGCAGAGATTGTTTGAGGCATTAAAGGGAGTGTGACAGGAGATCAAGGGGCAAGCTAGCAGAGATTGTTTGAGGCATTAAAGGGAGTGTGACAAGAGATCAAGGGGGCAAGCTAGCAGAGATTGTTTGAGGCATTAAAGGGAGTGTGACAAGAGATCAAGGGGCAAGCTTAGCAGAGATTGTTTGAGGCATTAAAGGGAGTGTGACAAGAGATCAAGGGGCAAGCTAGCAGAGATTGTTTGAGGCATTAAAGGGAGTGTGACAAGAGATCAAGGGGCAAGCTAGCAGAGATTGTTTGAGGCATTAAAGGGAGTGTGACAAGAGATCAAGGGGCAAGCTAGCAGAGATTGTTTGAGGCATTAAAGGGAGTGTGACAAGAGATCAAGGGGCAAGCTAGCAGAGATTGTTTGAGGCATTAAAGGGAGTGTGACAAGAGATCAAGGGGCAAGCTAGCAGAGATTGTTTGAGGCATTAAAGGGAGTGTGACAAGAGATCAAGGGGCAAGCTAGCAGAGATTGTTTGAGGCATTAAAGGGAGTGTGACAAGAGATCAAGGGCAAGCTAGCAGAGATTGTTTGAGGCATTAAAGGGAGTGTGACAAGAGATCAAGGGGCAAGCTAGCAGAGATTGTTTGAGGCATTAAAGGGAGTGTGACAAGAGATCAAGGGGCAAGCTAGCAGAGATTGTTTGAGGCATTAAAGGGAGTGTGACAAAGAGATCAAGGGCAAGCTAGCAGAGATTCTTCGTAGTCTTAAAGGGAGTGTGACAAGAGATCAAGGGGCAAGCTAGCAGAGATTCTTCGTAGTCTTAAAGGGAGTGTGACAGGAGATCAAGGGCAAGCTAGCAGAGATTGTTTGAGGCATTAAAGGGAGTGTGACAAGAGATCAAGGGGCAAGCTAGCAGAGATTGTTCGTAGTCTTAAAGGGAGTGTGACAGGAGATCAAGGGCAAGCTAGCAGAGATTGTTTGAGGGCATTAAAGGGAGTGTGACAAGAGATCAAGGGGCAAGCTAGCAGAGATTGTTTGAGGCATTAAAGGGAGTGTGACAAGAGATCAAGGGGCAAGCTAGCAGAGATTGTTTGAGGCATTAAAGGGAGTGTGACAAGAGATCAAGGGGCAAGCTAGCAGAGATTGTTTGAGGCATTAAAGGGAGTGTGACAAGAGATCAAGGGACAAGCTAGCAGAGATTGTTTGAGGCATTAAAGGGAGTGTGACAAGAGATCAAGGGACAAGCTAGCAGAGATTGTTTGAGGCATTAAAGGGAGTGTGACAAGAGATCAAGGGGCAAGCTAGCAGAGATTGTTTGAGGCATTAAAGGGAGTGTGACAAGAGATCAAGGGCAAGCTAGCAGAGATTGTTTGAGGCATTAAAGGGAGTGTGACAAGAGATCAAGGGACAAGCTAGCAGAGATTGTTTGAGGCATTAAAGGGAGTGTGACAAGAGATCAAGGGGCAAGCTAGCAGAGATTGTTTGAGGCATTAAAGGGAGTGTGACAAGAGATCAAGGGGCAAGCTAGCAGAGATTCTTCGTAGTCTTAAAGGGAGTGTGACAGGAGATCAAGGGGCAAGCTAGCAGAGATTGTTTGAGGCATTAAAGGGAGTGTGACAAGAGATCAAGGGGCAAGCTAGCAGAGATTGTTTGAGGCATTAAAGGGAGTGTGACAAGAGATCAAGGGGCAAGCTAGAGAGATTGTTTGAGGCATTAAAGGGAGTGTGACAAGAGATCAAGGGGCAAGCTAGCAGAGATTGTTTGAGGCATTAAAGGGAGTGTGACAAGAGATCAAGGACAAGCTAGCAGAGATTGTTTGAGAGCATTAAAGGGAGTGTGACAAGAGATCAAGGGGCAAGCTAGCAGAGATTGTTTGAGGCATTAAAGGGAGTGTGACAAGAGATCAAGGGGCAAGCTAGCAGAGATTGTTTGAGGCATTAAAGGGAGTGTGACAAGAGATCAAGGGGCAAGCTAGCAGAGATTGTTTGAGGCATTAAAGGGAGTGTGACAAGAGATCAAGGGGCAAGCTAGCAGAGATTGTTTGAGGCATTAAAGGGAGTGTGACAAGAGATCAAGGGGCAAGCTAGCAGAGATTGTTTGAGGCATTAAAGGGAGTGTGACAAGAGATCAAGGGGCAAGCTAGCAGAGATTGTTTGAGGCATTAAAGGGAGTGTGACAAGAGATCAAGGGGCAAGCTAGCAGAGATTGTTTGAGGCATTAAAGGGAGTGTGACAAGAGATCAAGGGGCAAGCTAGCAGAGATTGTTTGAGGCATTAAAGGGAGTGTGACAAGAGATCAAGGGGCAAGCTAGCAGAGATTGTTTGAGGCATTAAAGGGGAGTGTGACAAGAGATCAAGGGGCAAGCTAGCAGAGATTGTTTGAGGCATTAAAGGGAGTGTGACAAGAGATCAAGGGGCAAGCTAGCAGAGATTGTTTGAGGCATTAAAGGGAGTGTGACAAGAGATCAAGGGGCAAGCTAGCAGAGATTGTTTGAGGCATTAAAGGGAGTGTGACAAGAGATCAAGGGGCAAGCTAGCAGAGATTGTTTGAGGCATTAAAGGGAGTGTGACAAGAGATCAAGGGGCAAGCTAGCAGAGATTGTTTGAGGCATTAAAGGGAGTGTGACAAGAGATCAAGGGGCAAGCTAGCAGAGATTGTTTGAGGCATTAAAGGGAGTGTGACAAGAGATCAAGGGGCAAGCTAGCAGAGATTGTTTGAGGCATTAAAGGGAGTGTGACAAGAGATCAAGGGGCAAGCTAGCAGAGATTGTTTGAGGCATTAAAGGGAGTGTGACAAGAGATCAAGGGGCAAGCTAGCAGAGATTGTTTGAGGCATTAAAGGGAGTGTGACAAGAGATCAAGGGGCAAGCTAGCAGAGATTGTTTGAGGCATTAAAGGGAGTGTGACAAGAGATCAAGGGGCAAGCCAGCAGAGATTCTTCGTAGGCTTAAAGGGAGTGTGACAGGAGATCAAGGGGCAAGCTAGCAGAGATTGTTTGAGGCATTAAAGGGAGTGTGACAAGAGATCAAGGGGCAAGCTAGCAGAGATTCTTCGTAGTCTTAAAGGGAGTGTGACAGGAGATCAAGGGGCAAGCTAGCAGAGATTGTTTGAGGCATTAAAGGGAGTGTGACAAGAGATCAAGGGGCAAGCTAGCAGAGATTGTTTGAGGCATTAAAGGGAGTGTGACAAGAGATCAAGGGGCAAGCTAGCAGAGATTGTTTGAGGCATTAAAGGGAGTGTGACAAGAGATCAAGGGCAAGCTAGCAGAGATTCTTCGTAGTCTTAAAGGGAGTGTGACAGGAGATCAAGGGGCAAGCTAGCAGAGATTGTTTGAGGCATTAAAGGGAGTGTGACAAGAGATCAAGGGGCAAGCTAGCAGAGATTGTTTGAGGCATTAAAGGGAGTGTGACAAGAGATCAAGGGGCAAGCTAGCAGAGATTGTTTGAGGCATTAAAGGGAGTGTGACAAGAGATCAAGGGGCAAGCTAGCAGAGATTCTTCGTAGTCTTAAAGGGAGTGTGACAGGGAGATCAAGGGGCAAGCTAGCAGAGATTCTTCGTAGTCTTAAAGGGAGTGTGACAAGAGATCAAGGGGCAAGCTAGCAGAGATTGTTTGAGGCATTAAAGGGAGTGTGACAAGAGATCAAGGGGCAAGCTAGCAGAGATTGTTTGAGGCATTAAAGGGAGTGTGACAAGAGATCAAGGGCAAGCTAGCAGAGATTCTTCGTAGTCTTAAAGGGAGTGTGACAGGAGATCAAGGGGCAAGCTAGCAGAGATTCTTCGTAGTCTTAAAGGGAGTGTGACAGGAGATCAAGGGGCAAGCTAGCAGAGATTCTTCGTAGTCTTAAAGGGAGTGTGACAGGAGATCAAGGGGCAAGCTAGCAGAGATTCTTCGTAGTCTTAAAGGGGAGTGTGACAGGAGATCAAGGGGCAAGCTAGCAGAGATTGTTTGAGGCATTAAAGGGAGTGTGACAAGAGATCAAGGGGCAAGCTAGCAGAGATTCTTCGTAGTCTTAAAGGGAGTGTGACAGGAGATCAAGGGGCAAGCTAGCAGAGATTGTTTGAGGCATT